TTGAAAATATTTGAATATCTGGAAAAATTTCGATAGGTATGCAAGTAATTGAATATTTGCCAAGACTTTTATTAGGATTTTTTAAAATAATTTAATTTCTGCAAAGATTTTTCTTATTTATAGAAAATATTTAAATCCGTTCGAAAAATTTTATTAAATTTTTTGAAAATAATTGAAGATTTTTGTTATTTTTCATTTATGCCAAGAATTTTATTAAAATTTTTCAAAAATAATTGAATTTGTGCTAATTTTTCACAGGAATTTAATTATTTTTGGAAATTTTAATAAAATTCTTTTTCAATTATTTCCGCAAATAATAATAAAACTCATAGCAGAATTTCAGTTATTTTTAATACAATAATTGAATATTTTGATCATTTTAGAATTTTTATTTTTTCTAAATTTCTAAAAATTGATAGATTTTGAAATCCAAACTTAATTTTGTAGAAAATATCTATAAAAAAATTGCCAAATGAAAAAATTAATATTTACAAAAGTCTTAGCATTTTTTCAAAAGAAAAAATATTTAAAAATGAATTTCAATTAAAATTTTAGATAATTGAATATTAGAAGAGTTATTGTATCAATTTATAGAAATAATATTGAATTTTGAAAAGGTGTCAAATTAAAATCTTTGCAAATCTGAATTTTTTGGAAATTATTTCAACTTTTTATTTTTTACTATAGAAATTAAAGAATTTTTTTTTATAATCGATGAAATGTCGTAAAATTGAATTGTGAACAAATGTATTTGAAACTTCTCAAAGAACTTCTTCATAAATTATTAATTATTATTAAAAATAATTGATTTGAAGAAGAATTTTCGTTATAATTCTAGAAAATAATAATTATATTGAGATTAATAATAATTTTGAAAAAGTTGCAGTAACAATTTTTAAAAATTTTAATTTCTATCGAAAAATAATGATTAAATATTTATTTAAAAAAGAAGTTATTGATGTTTTTGAATAATTTTACAATTACAGAAATTCGTATTAAATAAATATTAATAAAACATTTTTTTTTCGAGCCTATCTAATAATTTAGAGTGAATGATTAAAAAAGAAGAAAATTTAATAAAAAATTTAAAAAAACAAAAAACAAAAACTTTTTTTTATCTAAAAATTTAGAGTGAATCAGAATATTCTTTAGGGTCAGGGAAAAAGTGAAAATTTTTTCCTAAAAATCAAGGAAAACGTAGGAAAAAAGAAAACTAAATTTTTGTACTAACCCTGATCTTCAAGAAATGTTTAATTTTCATATGAAATCGTTTAGAAAAACTTTTTTTCATTTCGCTTTATTTGAAGAACTGAAGAAGATAAATAAATTTGAAATAATCCAATCGTTTGACCAATAAAGTTTTCACGTTATATAACATTATCAATTTTCAACTCTCACTTTGATTGAGAGTTGAGAACTCTAATGTTGAAAGCTCTCTAATCTAATGTGTCTCCTCCTCGTCACAGGAAGATAGCCGAGTTTACTGTAATTTTGTAACTAGTTAGTTCAACTCTGAAAGTACACTACTGTCGTGAAATGCTGAAATCGCTATAATTAACGTCAAATCTTGCATTTTCAACAACTTTTCAAATTAATATGTGCATCTGTTTCACTCGCAATATGGATATAATTTTATTTTCAAAACATGCTTTTTGGAGAAATTTCCATAGCTATATAGACACATGAGTTCTGTGTGTTACGCTTGAAAATACTTGAAAATATTTTTGAATTTTAATGCAATTTCATCGTGACAAGAAAATTCAAGCCCAGGAAAATTGAATTAGGTTACTGAATGTGGAAAAAAAAAGTTTTTTTTGTGTAATTTAATTTTTTTTTTGTTGGGAGAAATTGTGTTAAAATATTGAAGAAAATTTCTTTAATATTTAGATAATTTTATGAAAAAAAACTAGCAAATGTTAACATCTAAAGAAAAATTATATTATAATAATCGACATAATTTTTCCTCACCTGAAATTAGTGTTGTTTTATTCCAATTTTTTGTTTTATACTTCGAATTGTTATGTCAAAAGTTTGTAAATAATTTAATTTAATTTAATCTGTAAATAATTAAAATTCTGATTTGAGTTTTATTATTTTCGAAAATAATTAAATCCCTAAAAAGAATTTTATTAAAATTTCCAAAAATAATTAAATTCCTGTGAAAAATTAGAAGAAATTAAATTATTTTCAAAAATTAAAATTAAATTCTTGGCATAAATGAAAAAAAACGCTATAATGCTATTAATATTCAATTATTATCTAAAATTTGAATTGAAATTCATTTTTATGAAATGAAAATCAATATTTATCAAAAGATTCTACGAGAATTCAATTATTTAAATACAAAAATAAATAATTCATTGAATAATTGAATGTTTATCGAAAATTGAATTCTCATCAAAAATTAATTATTTCGATGAATTTTAATAAATTTTTTTTAAATAATTGCATTTTTCGAGGAAGTCGATTCAAATTATATTAAAAATAATTGAATTTCTGCGACGAGTTTTATTATTTGTGAAAATAATTGAATTCCTAAAAAGAATTTTATTACTTACGAAAATAATTGAATTCTTGTGAAAAATTCGTAGAAATTCAATTATTTTTGAAAAATTTTAATAAAATTCTTGGCATAAATGAAAAAAAAAACAAAATTCTGTGCAGATCTTCAATTACATTAAAAAATTTTAATAAAATTTTTCGAACGGATTTAAATATTTTCTATAAATGACAAAAATCTTTGCAGAAATTAAATTATTTTAAAAAATCCTGATAAAAATCTTGGCAAATATTCAATTATTTGCATACCTATCGAAATTTTTCCAGATATTCAAATATTTTCAAAAGTTTTGCCACAACTTTTTCGTATAAATTCAGTTATTTTTAATATAATTTTAATAAAATTACTCTACAATATTCATTTATTTCTTTAAATTTAATAAAATTCTTCGGAAAAATTCAATTATTCTTATGAATTTTGATGTAATTCTTCATAAGAATTAAAGAATTTTTAATAGGTATAGTTTAAATTGAATTCTGTGAAAGAATTAAAAATTCTTTTTAAAATAATTGAAAATTTGCAATGAATTTTTCTTATTTGTGAAAATAATTGAATTTTCCAGAAGAATTTCATAAAAATGTTTTTAAATAATTAAATTTTTGTGTAAAATTATATTATTTCTGAAAATAATTGAATTCTTGCAAAAAAATTTATATTGTTTAAAATTTTTTATAATTTATGTTACTCATTAAAGTCTATTGTGAAATTTAATTAAAATTGCATTCAAATTAATTGAATTTTTATAAAAAAAAAATTTTATTTAAACTTTTGAAAGTAATTGAATTTTTTTAAAATTGTAATTAGAATAATTACATTTTTGCTAAAGAATTTTATTATTTATGAAAATAATGGAATTAATGAGAAGAAATTTATAAAAAAAATTTGTAAATAATTGAATTCCTGTGAAATTCTTATTATTTATGAAAATAATTAAATGTTTTGAGTAGAATTTTATCAAAATTTTTTATTTATAAATAATTGATTTCTTTTGGAAAATTTTATTAAAATAGTAGATTTATTAAAAATCATTGAATTGAGGAAAATTTTTGAAAAAAATTCAATTTTTAACAAGAATTTTACTAAAATTTTTAATTTATGAAAAAAATTGAATTTTTGTGAAAAATTTTTATTATTTTTAAAAATAATGAAATTATTGTGAATTATTGAAGAAATTTATAAAAAAAATTTGTAAAAATAAATAATAATAATTGAATTTTTTTTACAACGAATTAAAATAATTGAATTCTTGCAAAGAATTTTGTAATGATCTTTATGATAAATAATTGATTTTTTTGAAAATTTTTTTGAAAACTGTTTTAAGTAATTGAATTCCAGTATAAACATTTTATTAATTATAAAATATTTAAAATTTTGCAGAGAATTTTATAAAGATTTTTGAAAACAATTGAATTTCTGAAAAGAATCAAATTAAAATTTTGGAAAATAATTTAATTTTTCCAAGAATTAACTTAAACTTGTATTTAAAAATAATTGAATTTTTGCAAAAAATTATTTTATTTATGAAAAATAGTGAAATTATTATGAAAAAATTTATGAAAAATTTCTAAATAATGGAATTTCTGTAAAATTTTTATTATTTTTGAAAATAATGAAATGTTTGAGAAGGATTTTATCAAAAAATTTTTTTAAATAATTGAATTCCTATGAAATTGTTATTATTTATGAAAATAATTAAATGTTTTGCGTAGAATTTTATCAAAATTTTGTTTAAATTTGTTTTAAATTTTGATATAGTTGATATAAAAAATCATTGAATTGAGGAAAATTTTCGAAAATAATCCAAGTTTTGCCAAGAATTTGATTTGTGAGAGAATTTTCATGCCATCTGGACGGCAGTTTAAAGAACCATTTTGGCGCGAAATTCAAAAAAGAAAAGCTTAATTAATAATAAAAAAAAATACTTTAAATTTCTAGAATCATTCTATAATAAAATTCTATAAGATTTTTTTTTGAGTTGTTTAAAAATTCAGTTTTTACTAGAAGTAAAATTCTATAATAATTCTATATAATAATTTAATAATTCTATAATAATTAAATATAAATTTCGTCTAATAAAATCTAATTTGCTGAATAATTCAAGTAAATCAATTTCGAGAGATTGATAAAGCTTCTCAAACTCTGAAAGAAAAACATCCTACGAGAAAATTGGATAATGATGAAAACTAATTAACCTAATTAGAAATTCCATATTATAATAAGTGTCGATAATCTGAACCACTAGAAACTAAAAGATAAACCGACAATTTTATTATTCGTCTTCCTTAAATAGTTTCAATTCTCCAAAAAAAAAAGAAAAAGAAACAAAAGAAAGAAAAAAAGAAAAAGAAAAGAAAAAAGTAAAAAAAAGTTGTTTAAAATTCAGAAGAATTTTACCACCTCGTCAGCGGAAAATAAAATGTTCGTTTTATATTCTTTTCAGTCGCCTGCGTAGCGATACTAATGAACGCCAAATTGAACAACGTGGACCTACGAGTTTCCAAGGAAAACCTAATTGAGGGAAAACTAAACGAGCTCTTCAATGTAATTCTCATAGGAGACTTGTTGTACGACGAGAAAATTGCCGAGAAACTCATTCCGTGGCTCGAAAGGTCATTGAGGGCAGGATCTCAAATTTATATTGGAGATCCAGGAAGACACGCTCTCAACCAAGATTTAAAGAAGAGAATGTCACCAATTTGTAAGTATGACCTACCGGAAAATGTCAGAAGGGAAAATTATGGATTCAATTCAGCCACCGTTTGGCGTTTCATTTCGAAATAGTTGATTGAAAAAAAAAAAAAATCGGGGGAGAAAAAATCAATTTTTTTTTTTTTTTATTTTCCCCGTCAAAATTCATATGACGATCTATTCATACCAAATCATACTCTGTCAATGCCATTCTGACATAGGTACACGAGACGCTTAAGTTATTGACTTATTCTCGTGCCGGAATTTCACCAACTGACTTTATCGACAGTCTGTGATTGACTATCAAATTCATTGCATCTGCATTTGAATATCAATGAAATATTTTACACTATTTTTCCTTTTTCCTTTTTTTTTTTTACAATTTTTTGACTTTTATTAATCGCGTGTTTGTGTTTTCGAACGTGTAACAAAAGTTTGCATAGATCTCAATAACTAAACCAGGGTTGCCACTGGTCAGGGAAATCGGGAAAAAGTCAGGGATTTTTATTAAAAGTACAGGGAAAAAATTTTATTTTTAGAATTCATAAGAAAATTCTGAATTTTTGAGTCCTTTTTGTTTTTTTTATTTATTTATTTAAGTAGTAAATGTTTTTGACTCATAAACTATGAAATAACCACGAATTTTAACACAAAACCTTTTTTTCTATTTTTTCTATTTCTAATAATAATTTCTTTCTAAATAACTTAATTCTTCAAGAACCAGGTATCATAAAAACTATCATAAAATTTGTTAATAATAAATTATTTACTAAACAATTTTACTTAAATATTTCGAAATTAATTGAATTTTAAAAGAGTTGCATTTACAATTTTCAAAAATTAGATCAACTTCAAAAGGTTTTAATTTGAAATTTTAGAAAATTTCAATTTTCAATAAATTTAAATAGGAAAAAACTTTGATTTTTGAAAAATTTCAATAATTCAACTTGTTCTGAAATAAAAAAAAATGGATTTATTTTTATAGAAGAATTTTAGTTAAAAACACTTAAAAAAAACTAAAATTGAATTTTGGAAAAGTTACAAATGATTGTAGAAATTAAATTATTTTCAAAAGTATAATAAAATTCTTCGTAGAAATTCAATTATATACAGAGATTTTTAAAATTTCTTGTCAAAATTTCAATTATTTTTAAAAATAATAAAATTCAATTATTTTCGAAAATTTGAAGAAAATTCTTGTCAAAATTTCAATTATTTTCAAAAATTTTCCTCAATTTAATGATTTTTAATATTTTCCATTTTAATAAAATTTTCCAAAAGAATTTAATTATTTAAAAAAAATTCTTCTCCGAAATTCAATTATTTTCGAAAATTTTTAAGAAAATTCTTGGCAAAATTTCAAAAATTTCATCTACCATTTTAATAAAAATTTTCAAAAGAATTCAATTATTTACGAAAATTTGAAGAAAATTCTTGTCAAAATTTCAATTATTTTCAAAAATTTCCCACAATTTAATGATTTTTAATATTTTCCATTTTAATAAAATTTTCCAAAAGAATTTAATTATTCAAAAAAAAATTCTTCTCCAAAATTCAATTATTTACGAAAATTTGAAAAAAATTCTTGTCAAAATTTCAATTAATTTCAAAAATTTCCTTCAATTTAATGATTTTTAATATCTACCATTTTAATAAAATTGTCCAAAAAAATTCAATTATTTAAAAACAATTTTGATAAAATTCTACCTAATTTCTTTGCAATAATTCCATTATTTTTATAATTAATTAAATTGTTTACAGAGATTCAATTATTTTCGTAATTAATAAAATTCTTTATAAGAATTCAATTATTTTCAAAAATAATAAAACTCATTGCAGAATTTCAATTATTTTCAATATAATTTTAATTGAATTCCTCGAAAAATGTAATATTATTTTTAAAAATTTTAATAAAATTCTTCTTAAAAATAATTTAAAATTTTCTTTATAAAGTTCTTTAAAACAATTAAATTATTTTCAAAAATATTTAGAAATTCTTTCGCAAAAATTCAATTATTATTACAAATATTGAAATTCTTCGCTAATATTCAATTATTTTCATTATATCTACTACTTTAATAAAATTTCTCAAAAGAATTCATTTATTTAAAAAAAAAATACATAAAATTCGTCTCAAAAATTCATTCAATAGATATTATCATAAATAATAAAATTTTGGCAGGAATTCAATTATTAACAAAATTTTTTATAAATTTCTTTGCAATAATTCAATTATTTTCATAAATAATAATTTTTTACAGCAATTCAATTACTTTTATAAATAATATATTTTTTTAATTAAATTATTTTCATAAATAGTAAAACTCATTGTAGAATTTCAATTATTTTCAATACAATTTTAATCGAATTCCTCGAAAAATGTAATTATTTTTAAAATTTTTATTAAAAGTCAAATGAATTCAATTATTTAAAAATTCGTTCATTAAATTCTTTATCAGAAATAAATTTTGAGAAACATTCAATTATTCAATAAATTATTTATTTTTTTATTTAAATAATAATTTAATTCTCGTAAAATTGTCAATAAAAATAAAATCAATAAAATTAAATCAGTAAAAATTGATTTAAAAATGAATTTTAGTTCAAATTATAGATAATAAGAATTGAATAATGAAAGCATTTTAGCGCTAATTTTCAGAAATAATTGAATTCTAAAAAGGTTTCAAATTAAAATCTTTGAAAATCTGAATTTTTTATATACTGTTAACTAACGATTTTATAGAATTATTATTTTTTTTTCGACAAAGTTTAGTTGAATTTTATTTTAGAATTATTTCAAGCTTTTATTTTCCATTTATTTTCAATTATGTTCAAAAATTATTTCTAAAATTATCCTCAAATTATTAATTATCTTTATAAATAATAAAATTTTTCTTCGAAATTCAATTATTTTCAAAAATTTTAATAAAATTCTTGGCATAATTTAAATTATTTTTAATATAGTTTTCATCAAATTTTTTGAAAAATGAAATTATTATTAAAATTGTCACAAGAATTCAATTATTTAAAAATTTGTTGATCAAATTCTTTATAATTTTAAGAAACATTCAATATAATAAAATATTTATTTTTGTATTTACATAATTGAATTCTCGTAGAATTTTCTAATAAATATTGTTTTAAAAGTGTGTTTCAGTTAAAATTTTAGATTATAATTGAATTATAATTGCAAGCGTGAATTTTTAGAAATAATTGAATTTTTAAAAAGTTTCAAATTGAAATCATTGAAAATTTGAACTTTTCATACTTTTAATTAGGAATTCTGTAGAATTAATTTTTTTCAAAATGTTTAGTGGCATTTTTTTAATTATTTGAAGTTTTTAATTTCTAATATATTTAATTGAAGAATTTCTGAATAATTGAAATTTCTTAAAATTTAATTATAAACAAATTGATTTGAAAATTCAGAATTTTCTCCAAAATTATTAAAAATAATTGATTTAAAGAAGAATTTTAGGTAGAAATTCGAGAAAATAAATATTGAATGAGATGGAAATAATTCTGAAGAATTTTATTTTTGTTTTTTTAAAAACAATATTTTTTATTTTATATTTTTTTTATATTAAAAAATATTGATTTTATCACTTGATCATCTTTAATTATTATTACCAAACTTGAAGAAATCGACCACTCCAAGTCGAAGACTCGAAGTTATCGATTTTTTCATGTTTGCTAATAATATTTATAAATAAAAAAATTTATAATATAATTATAAAATAAAAAAAAAGAAAAAGAAAAATTTTGTTTCGTAATCAGGAAAAAGTGAGGAAAAAACAAAATTAAATTTTTGTGGCAACCCTGTAAAATACAAAAATAAACTTTTTTCAAATGATAATTTAAGAAAAATCTTTTGCTTTTTTTATAATTTAATTTCTAGGAATTTGGAACTAAAACTCTCTTTTACTACTGACATATATAATACCAAACTTTACCAACATATAATACAACCAAAGAATTCCGCAAATTTTGTGTCTGACTATAAACGTGTTTTACTACTTAAACCCAATTTCAAAGTCTTAAAAATTTGTGACTGACTGTAACTGCTAGGATTTAAAAAAAATTCGAAAACTGTTCTAAAAAAAAGAGAAGTTTCTTTTTTTTTTACAATTTGTTTAAAACTGCGTCAACTATTTTACAAAATGCAATACAGAGACTAATACAAACATTATTAATTTAAAAATTCAATCATCAAGTTTTCAAATAAAATCATAAAATACATTTCCACGCTTTTTGTACATATAATATGAAAAATAAAAAATTCCGTAAAAATAATTGTAAATTAAAAATGCTTTGAAAAAAATTCTGAGCAAATGATATAAATTATTGTGCACGTATTTTTTAAAAAAACAAAATAACTGTTAAATAAAAAAATGTTAATTAGAGAGAAGAGAAATATTTTATTATTAAAATATTTAATATTGTAAAAATGTCGAAAACTTTCATAAATACGAGAGAAATAATTAATTAAAAAATTATTTAACAAAAATAGATTAATTATTTCTTCTTTGCAAAAAAATCCAGTGTATAATAATAATAATAATAATGATGATAATTTATGAAAATGAGATAGAAAATTCGAAACTTTTTCAAACGTAATTCGCTTTACTGCAGTAAAATCCTCCGCGAAGACATAAAAATATTATACGCATTCACCATCAAATACATCTATAAAAACAAACTTTGATCCATATTTTATATTACGAATTTTATTTGACACATTTCGAGTCTTTTATTGGATCGCGGTTATTCCTTTTTATCTATATTATATCATTTAAATGTTGTTTTACATATAAATATTTATATATGCCTTTATTGCGTATTTTTATCAATATATAAATTTTTGTCAATATTCTCACATGTATATAGTTGAATAATATTTATCAATATTTTTTTTTATGGTACAGATCTTTTTCACAATATTGAAAAGGTTTAAAGATATATCGTCATTAAGTTACCATAAAAATTTTATTCGGTTTTTTTCTGAACGTAATTTATTACTGTAGATGTAGTGAAGGATTATTTTCAAAAATTTTATTAAAAAATTTTTAAAAATTCTATCATTTCAAAAACAATAATTTTTTTTTTTTATTTTTAAGAGTTTTTCTGAATTTAAAAAAAAAATTCAATTATTATATATAAATATACAAATTATAATATGTATAAATTTAAAATTTCCAATTTCTTAAATTAAATTAAATTGTTTATCAAAACATTCAAATATTTTTAAAAAATAGAAGTAAAATATTTTAAAAATCTAATTTCTGAATTTTATATAAAATTTTTCTAAATTTGATTTCTTTTTAAATTTTAAACTTAAATTTTTTTAAAACTAATTAAATAAATAGAAATAAGTAAATATTTCAAATTTACATTATTTTATATACAATTTATTACTCATCGCTTGGCCACTTAAATTTAGTATTTCTGCTTTTTTTTAGAATTTTCAATACTTTAAATTCGCCAATAAAATGAAAAAACTATTCTCAAAAATTATAATCAAATTCATTAAAAATATTCAATTATTTTCAATATCAAGTATTTTCATTAAATTTCACAAAAGAATTCAATTATTTTCATAAATAATAAAACTCATCGAAGAATTTCAATTATTTTTTAAACTATTTTAAATTAATTAATCGTAAAATTCAATTCTTTTCAACAAATAAAGTTTTCCACAAGAATTCAATTATTTAAAACAATGTTTATAAAATTATTATGAAGAATTCAATTACTTTCAAAAATAACAAAATTTTTCACAGAAATTCAATTTTTTTAAACATTTCAATACATTTAATACATTTCAATTTTTCGCAATAATTCAATTATTTCCAGACAAACAATAATTTTTAACAGAAATTCAATTTTTTTTAAACATTTCAATAAAATTTTTCGCAATAATTCAATTATTTCCAGACAAACAATAATTTTTAACAGAAATTCAATTCTTTTTAAACATTTTAATAAAATTTTTATTATAAAATTTTAATAAAATAATTAAAATAATTCAATTATTTTCATGAATAATAAAATTCTTCTCAGGAATTCAATTATTTTTAATTCAATTTACAGAAATTAAATTATTTACATAAATAAGAATTCATCGAAAGAATTCAATTATGTCGATAAATAACAAAATTATTTCCGAATATTCAATTATTTTTAATCATTATAATATAATATTATTTCCGAAAATTCAATTGTTTTAAGGCATTTTAATAAAATTTTTTGCAATAATTCAATTATTTTCATAAATAATAAAATTCTTCTCAGGAATTCAATTATTTTTAAATTTGTTTAAAAAATTCTTAGCATTTATTGAATTATTTTCATAAATAATAAAATTCAAAAAATGTAATTATTCTTAAAAATTTGATTTCAATTGCTCGAAAAAATCAAATATTAAAAAAAAGTTTTTTTAAATTCTTTGGAAGAATTCAATTACTTAAAAAAATATTAGAATTTTTCTCAGGAATTCAATTATTTACAAATATTTGAATAAAATTGTTCGAAATAAATAAATTACTTTAAATATGTACAGTTTTAATTAAATTTTTTTGAAATAAGTCAATTATTTTTTTAGTTTTTAATAAAATTCTTTCTAAGAATTCAATTATATTTAAAAGTAATTCTTCTGAAAAATTCAATTATGTCAATAAATAACAAAATTATTCCCGAAAATTCAATTATTTTGAGGCATTTCAATAAAATTCTTTGCAAAATTCAATTATTTTCATAAATAACAATATTCATCAAAAGAATTCAATTATTTTCATAAATAACAATGTTCATCACAAGAATTCAATTATTCTTAAAAGTAATAAATTTCTTCTCGGAAATCCAATTATTTAAAAAAAATTGCATTAAAATCGTTCCCAAGAATTCAATTATTTTCATAAATAATAAAATGATTTTTAGGAATTCAATTATTAATTTTAATAGAATCCTTTGTAAAATTTAATGATTTTTAAAATCTTTCCGCAATAAGTCAATGATTTTCAATATCTACTATTTTCATGAAATTTTTCAATAAAATTCGATATTTAACAATTTTTTGTAAAAATCTTCGTAAGAATTCAATTATTTTCATAAATAATAAAATTCTTCGCAGGATTTCAATTATTTTTTAATAGAATTATACAGGAATTGCTCCAAAAATGTAATTAATTCTTAAAAATTTAATTTTAATTTTTTGGAAATTAATTCAATTATTTACAGTATTGGAATTTTTGACAGGAATTTAATTATTTTCTAATATTTTAATAAAATTGTTCAAAAGAATTCAATTATTTTAAATACAATTATATTAAATTTTTTTGAAATAATTCAATTATTCTTTCATAGATTTTAATAAAATTCTTCCTAAGAATTTCAATTATTTACATAAATAATTTTTGAAAAGATTACAATTGTGTCGATAAATAACAAAATTATTCCCAAAAATTCAATTATTTTCAGGTATTTTAATAAATTTTTTTTTCAAATTTCAATTATTTACATAAATAACAATATTTATCACAAGAATTCAATTATTTTTAAAAGTAATAAATTTCTTCTTGGAAATTCAATTATTTTCATAAATAACAATATTCATCGCAGGAATTCAATTATTTCTATAAATATTAAAATACTTTTTAGGAATTCAATTATATATTTTCAAAAAAATTTAATAAAATACCAGACATTCAAATGTTGTCAAAAATTTTAATAGGTATAATTCTTTGTAAAATTTAATTATATTAGTTTTAAAAACTTTTCGCTATTCAATGATTTTCAATAATTTATTTTCATAAAATTTCCAAACAGAATTCAATTATTTAAATATTTTTTTGCAAAAAATCTTCGTAAAAATTCAACTCTTTTCACAAATAATAAAAATTTCTCGAGAATTTAATTACAATTTAAATTAGAATTTGCATAAAATTAGTCGAAAGAAATAAATTATTTTAAAAAATTTATAAAATTCTTCATCAGAATTGAATTATTTTTATAAAAATTTTAATTCTTTCATGAATAATAAAATTCGTTGCAGGAGGAATTCAATTTATTAGCGCAGGATAAGAGAGAAGTAAACATTTTTGATGAAAATTAGGAAAAAGACAGGAAAATAAAAAATATTAAATGGAATTTTTTTCAGTTTTGTGAAGTAAAAACGAGTTTTTTTAGTAGTCGTGTTTAATTTTTCGATAGCTACTTTTTTATTACTTTTTTTAGTTTGAAAAAGCTACTTTTTTCTACTTTTTTAAAATTAATTATCGAGTGCGAAGTCTGGTAATAAAAAAAGTTATCAAAAATTAGTCTCCTATCACTGCAATAAAAAAATAAAAATCGTAACTACAAAGCAGAAATCATTGACTGACATTCTTGCTATTAAGTCCAAAAAATTTATCTATTTATCCGTATAAAAATTTAAGTAAATTTATGTATTTAAAATTTAAGTGAATTTATGTATTCAAAATTTAAGTGAATTTATGTTTTTAAATTTAATTTAAGAAATGTAAATATAAGGAAATAAAATGAAAAAAAGTATACTTTTCTATTCTTTGAAAGCAGAGAGCAATTCAATGAAAAGAATAGTTTTTGAAATGTAATATCAAATATGTATAAAGACATGGTTTTTTTTTTTTTTTTTTTTTAAATATATGCGACCTTTTTCAGTGGTCGAAAGACTGTTATTAAATTTTAAACACTTGAATTTCCATGAAATCCATTTTTCACAGCGCTTTTGTGAAAACTTGCTCTCTTTATTGCTTATGTTTGTGCTCTCAACTTTAAGTTTAGATTTCACTTACCTGTCGACTGAGAAGAGACTCTATGGTGCCGTGTTGAGTGAGAAGACTAGCCCGGAGGGACGTGACATTGGACAATTTTATCCTGCATTCGTATCTCGATCGATCTGTCAAATAAAAAAAAAAAGGGAGGTGGAAAATATAAGAAAAGTTTATAGATCCGGATTTTCACTGTATAAATCACTTTGCCAACTCTTTCACTCTCTCTATCTCTCTCTCTCTATCTATGTATAGAGAGAAATTGAACCCCTGTCTTTTCTATTCTGTAAAGCGATTAATCTTTTTTTTTTTCTTATTGTTTTTCCCCCATTCCAAAAGAATATAATTTGTCACACTCACTGTTGTAGATTTTTATGCTGTGTTTGCACTGGCAGGGTTTCCGGTTTTTTCCTGGATAAGAACATTGGAGTATACAATTTTCTCCCTCGCAATCTGCAAAATTAATTAACACGATTATTATCACTTTAATACGCTAATTATCAGAGTTATTCATTCATTTTTCTTTCTCTTTTACAAAAAAAAAAAAGAAAAACTTTCTCCGATAAACAGACAATTTAATTTGCTATTATGTTTTTCTTTTTTTTTTTTTTTCTTGCTTTTAAGTTTTATTTTTAGAAAAAGAAAAACATCGATTATGGAATAATATTCTCAGCAGTTTAACAAGGCGTTAACAGACAAATGAAACTTTGTCTTATTAAATTTTATAGCAGAATTTTTTCAAAGAAGAATTAATTTTTCTTTCTGAAATTAAATGTATTTTATTAAATCCTGTAAATGAAACTATTTTGTATCATATTTCTTAAAATTTTTAAAAATTTTATTTAAAAATTTATTTAAATAATTAATTTTTTTTATATAAAAATAATATTTTTAATTTACATTTTCTTTTGGTTCATAGTAAAACTAATTCCATTCTAGTATCAATAAAAAAAATCTACCCATTAAATTCAATTAAATTTGAATTAGTAATAATGTTTAGTAATTCGAATTAATGACTGACTTTTTGCTTTAGAATTAGAAAATTTAATTAATACATAGTAATTTCTACTAATTTATTAGTAAAATTAAAAATAATAAACAAATAGTAATTTCTACTACTTTATTAGTAAAATTAAAAATAGTAAGTAAAAAAATGGTAATTTCTACTAATATATTAGTTAAATTTAAAATAGTAAGTAAATTAAATTAAATAGTAAGTTACTTCTACTAATTTATTAGTAAAATTTTAAATAATAAATACATAGTAATTTCTACTCCTTTATTAGTAAAATTAAAAATAGTAAATAAATAAATAAATAGTAATTTCTGCTAATTTATTAGTAAAAATTAGAATAGTAAATAAATAGTAAAACAAATACAGTAATTTTTACTAAATTGTTAGTAAAATTAAAAATAGTAAATAAATAGTCAAACAAGTATAGTAATCTTTACTAAATTGTTTGTAAAATTAGAAATAGTAAATAAATAGTAATTTCTACAAATTTATTAGAGTAAGTAAAAAATAGTAATATCTACTAATATATTAGTAAAATTAAAAATAGTAAGTAAATTAAATTAAATAGTAAGTAATTTCTAATATTTTATAAGTAAAATTTAAAATAGTAAATAAATAGTAAAACAAATATAATAATTTTTACTAAATTGTTAGTATAATTAAAAATACTAAATAAATAAATAGTAATTTTTACTAAATTGTTTGTAAAATTAAGAATAGTAAATAAATATGTAGTAATTTTTACTACTTTATTAGTAAAATTAAAAATAGTAAAACAAACATAGTAATTTCTACTAATTTAATAGTAAAATTAAAAATAGTAAGTAAATAAATAGTGATTTCTAATAATTTATAAGTAAAATTTAAAATAGTAAATAAATAGTAAAACAAATACAGTCATTTTTAATAAAATTGTTTGTAAAATTAAAAATATGAAATAAATAAATAGTAAAATAAATGGTAATTTCTACATATTTATTAGTAAAATTAAAAGTAGTAAAAAATAAATAGCAAAACAAATATAGTAATTTCTACTACTTTGTTAGTAAAATTAAGAATAGTAAGTAAATAAATAGTGATTTCTAATAATTTATAAGTAAAATTTAAAATAGTAAATAAATAGTAAAACAAATATAATAATTTTTACTAAATAGTTTGTAAAATTAAAAATAGTAAATAAATAGATAGTAAAATAAATAAATAGTAAAATAAGTAGTAATTTCTACAAATTTATTAGTAAAATTAGAATTAGTAAAAAATAAATAGTAAAACAAATATAGTTATTTCTACTTATTTATTAGTAAAATTAAAAATAGTAAGTAAGTAAACAGTAAAATAGATATTAATTTCTATAAATTTTTTAGTAAAATTAAAAATAGTAAACAAATAAATAATAAATTACTACTAATTTATTAGTAAAATTAAAAATAGTAAATTAATAAATAGTAATTTCCACTAATTTATTAGCTCACGTATCCTTAGAAAAACTTTAAATAAAATTTACTAATTAAATAGTAAATAAATTAGTAAAGAATAGTAATTAAAAATAGTAAATAAATAAATAGAAATTTCTACAAATTTATTAGTAAAATTAAAAATAGTAAATTAATAAATAGTAATTTCCACTAATTTATTAGTAAAACTAAAAATAGTAATTTAATAAATAGTAATTTCTACAAATTTATTAGTAAAACTAAAAATAGTAAATAAATAAATAGTAATTTCTACTAATTTATTAGCTCACAGTTTTTCTAAGTATATGAAATTGAGACAAAAAACGAATTCGTTTTTCATCTCAATTTCATATTCTTAGAAAAACTTTAAGTAAAATTTACTAATTAAAAAGCAAAAAGCAACTAATTCAAATTAATAAATAATTTTACTAATAAAAAATTCAGAGAGTAAATAATACTAAATTCACAGGTAAAGGAACAAAATTTCTTATACAAATCCGTTTAAAGATTAAAAAAAAAAGAAATAAAATAAAACTCAGGATAAACAAAAATTAAATAAAAAAGAAAAAAGATTAGGAGTAAAAAAATTCTTAACTATGTCAAATGAAGCAATTCCCAATCAAAAAGTTTTGATTAAGAAGTTCCAACGATTGAATACCATTTGCATATATTCTGGAAAATCTATCGTTTAGCGGATTTTTCATTTTCTTGCAGAATCGCAAGATTAAATTACTATGAAATGGTGTGAATCATGGATTTCAATTTACATAATAAATTCAGAGAAGAAGGGATTTCCTTCTTTTCTATATTTTTTTTCATTCCCACTAACTCTTTTTTTTTTGTTTTTTTTCTTTTTGAACTAGTAGTGTAGAATTCCACTTTGCAGGAAGAGTAAATTATTTAAATCTTCTTTGGCGGAAAAATATATAAAATTGTGGGGGACAATTGGAAAATAGAGTTTCTGGTCATAAATATATTTTGGGGAAAATAGAAAATGAAAAACAGATGAGAGAGATTGAAATCCTTTTTGTTTTCAAAAAAGAATAATAATATATCCGGAAATCAGGGAAAATCGAAGTAAATTTTTTGTTTACTTTTTAAATTTAAAGTAAATTTTTTGTTTACTTTTTAAATTTAAATTAAATTTTTTGTTTACTTTTTAAATTTAAAGTAAATTTGAGGCGCATGATTATTCCCCAAATGTCATTTGACCGAACTGTCATTTTACCGAATTGTCACTTTTCACGAAATGTCAATTTTGCGAATTGCCATTTTTACGAATTGTTACTTTTGCGAAAAGTAATTTTTTCGAATTGTCATTTTTACGAATTTTTCGCAAAAATGACAATTCGCAACAGTGACATTTCGTAGAAATGACAATTCGTTAAAATGTGTTTCGCAAATGTGTCAATTCGTAAAAATGGCGATTCGCAAAAGTGACATTTCGTTAAAATAACAGTTCGAATAAATGCAATTCGTTAAAATGACATTTGGGGAATAATCATGCGCCTCGTAAATTTTTTGTTTACTGAATAAAAAGAGATTTTAGTCTGTTTTTTTTTTTTTTTTAACTGAATAAAAAGAGTTTTTAGTCAACTTTTTTTTCATAAATAATTAGTCGCTGCGGTAGTTTATAAATTCAAATTATTGTCGACTATAAATTTAAAAAAAATAACTTCCCGCTCTCAAAATGAAGAAACGCTTTTCGAGAGAAAAAGAATTCTTTTCTTTTCTTACATCTTGATCCTAATCAAAATATTTGTTCTTCCGGTACCAATGCGAACGCTCCGAGCTCTAGAGACGATTTTAATTAAAATGCCTCCTTGTTGAAAGCACTTTACTGATTAATTTATTTGTAACAATCTCTGCAGGGAATTTAAGGGAATCAACCGTTAAAAATAAAAAAAAGAGTAAAGAAATTGGAGAAAATGACAGTTTTATCATTCCATTGTCGCGACCATATCAATGGAAGGACTTTTGTTGACAAAATGAATGCGCACACATAGAGAAAACATCAGTAGCGTGAAATGAATCTTTCCTCTTGTAGTTGTTTAAAAATTGGAAAAAAAACGAAAAAATATAGTAAAAAAAAAAGATCCAATTAATTTCCAGAAACTGCTTTTTCGTTCTAGATTTTTTTTTCGAAATAAAATTTACATAGCGTTTGAGTTGAATGTATTGTGGCGTCGCGACGCTTCAACGTCAATCCATTTACTCTTATATATACTTTTCTACTTCCCGGGAGGTTCGTGACCTTTTCGTTTTCAGAAAATTAATTACAATATGGAACCGCTGACACGTTGAATGGTTCACGTTCATCAACTGCTTCCGTTATTGTGGAATCTATGAGACAAAATATAAAAGGAAAAGAAAAATAAAAGGGAAAAAAGAGAAAACGCGGAACATCGCGACAATGCAAGTACCATATTTTCTTTCTTGCAAAGAAAAAAAAAAAGGGAAAAAAAAAGAAAAAATATAGGGTATCGCATTAACTATTAATTTCAACGTTTCTAACGGATGTCGCACCTGCAACCAACTTACTTTCTTCAAATTAAAAATTCATTTTTCCTTTTCCTGTACCAATTTCGAGTCCCAGACTCTCACTCTAATTTTTTATTTTCTTCTCTTTATATCGTTTCTCTTTTATCTTTCCCTTTTTCTCTTCTTCCGTACATTCGTGTACAAGTTTTGATAATTTAATTAATCTCCGGATGGGAGCCGAAAACTTTTCAACCGCTGCAAACTTTCACTTTTTTTTTTTTTTTTTTCTTTTTTGAACTCTTTTGAATAAATAAGGAAAATTGTTTATTTACACTTTCGCGGGTTTATTCAGCACAAATGAGGAAACAAGCGGCCAAAAAAGCAAACAACGAGGATAAGTCGAAAATGAAATGCGATATTATATTTCATTTATTTACACTCGAAACGTAAATAATTATAATATTATTTTATATATACTGTTACTCTAACTTCTTAGAAATTATTTTCATCATTTTAAATTCAATTATTATTTTACAGAATTTCAAACTAAAATTCTTGTTTAAATTATTTTTAACGATTTTTAATTATTTTTGAAAATGTTCATTGAAAATTATTAAATCCATCTATTCACAATTCTATTTTACAAAATGGAAATCGATTATACAAAAATACTTCAATTTCTACAGTAGAAAAGAAAAAGTTGAAATAATTTCCAAAAAAATTCAATTAAACTTTTCCAAAAAAATAAATTCTACAGAATTTTTAATTAAAAGTATGAAAAATTCAGATTTTCAAAGATTTTAATTTGAAACCTCTTCAAAATGCAATTATTTCTAAAAATTCATGTTATAATGCTTTTAATATTAAATTATTACCTAAAATTTGAACCGAAATTAATTTTTAAAACAATTTTTATTAGAAAATTCTATGAGAATTCATTTCTTTAAATACAAAAAGAAATAATTTATTCAATAAAATTGAATGTTTCTTAGAATTTCATTTTTAAGAAAAATTTTATTACCAATTTTTGAAAATAATTTATTTCTTTTAAGGAATTTAATTGAAATATATTAATAAAATTTATTATATTAAAGAATTTTATAACAATTTTTGAGAGTATAATAATTAAATTAATGCGAAGAATTTTATTACATTTCATTTAAATAATTGAAATTTTGCTAAGAATTTTATTAGAATTTTTGACAATAATTTCATTCTTGAGAAGAATTTCGCTATCTATTTATAAAGATAATTTAATTCTTGACAAGAATTAAAAAAAAAACTTTTTAAATAATTTAATTTCTACAAAGTATTTTATTACTTTTCAAAAGAATTTAATTCTTGTGCTGAATTTTGATATTTATCAAAATAATTGAATTTTGGAAAAGAATTTTATTAAAAGTCCTTAAAATAATTGATTTTATGAGATCAATTTTGTTGTTTATCAAAAGATAATTGAATTCTTTTGCAGAATTATACTTAAAATTTTTTTTAAATTATCGATTTTCCTCGACGAATTAAAAGCTATTTCTGAAAATAATTGAATTCTTGGGAAGATTTTTATTAAAATCTATAAAAGAATAATTGAATTATTTCAAAAAAATTAAATTAAAATTGTATTTAAATCAATTGATTTCTTTCGAACAATTTTATTAAAATATTTGAAAATAATTGAATTTCTGTGAAGAATTCTAATATGTTTGTAAATAATTGAATTCTTCCAAAGAATAATTTAAAAGAAAACATTTTTTTTGAGTAATTGATTTTTTTGAGGAATTGAAATTAAATTTTTAAGAATAATAAAATTTCTCGAGCAATTCCTGTAAAATTGAATTAAAAATAATTGAAATCCTGCGATGAATTTTATTATTTATGAAAATAACTGAATAGTTGCTAAGAATTTTATTAAAATTTTCAAAAATAATTCAATTCCTGAGAAGAATTTTATTATTTATGAAAATAATTGAATGATTGCGAAAAATTTTATTAAAATGTTTAAAAAGAATTGAAAGATTGAACGAACTTACCTAAGTGAAGTTCAATCAGAATTGTGCTAGCTGCCTCGTCCGAAGAGATCAATTATTTTGTAGTAATGGAATTACTATTCGTTTCGCACAGATATTTTAAATTCAAACTAAAATAAAAAGGATAATTCCCTTGCCACTCTGTAGATGTCGTCTCTTCGCCGCCATGACACTTTCATTAATTTCAAAGATATTGTACTGTAAATCGCAACCAGGGATGTGGGTGATTTTGTTTACATGATTTGGGTGGGTGTGATCTCTTCGGACGAGGCAGCTAGCACAATTCTGATTGAACTTCACTTAGGTAAGTTCGTTCAATCTTTCAATTGTACTACGCTGCCTCGTCCTCGAGATCAATTATTTTGTAGTTGTTCAAAGATATAATGGTTGTGATTTTGTACTCTGTGTTACTTTATTTGTTTTATACAGATTTGTACTTTCGTTGTTTAACATTCGAACAGAATTGAGAAAATTGGAAATAACTGAATTTTTAGCTCGATTTACGCTTAACAAAAATAAACTTGATGATTTAAGAAAAAGAGAATAAAGTGAAAATGATAAAGAAAAAAGAAAAATTAGACATATTATTAATCGAATCGCTTTCTTCAAAAATCGCTTCTGCAAACGTTTTTTCTTGCCTCAGTGGTAAGTTATAAAAGTTCGCAAAAGTTTTCGATTAAGCAGTCCATCCAACTGCTTGTCTTATCGTTTCAATGTTTGCTCCATTTCTGAGCGCTGCCGAAGTCGATGCATGTCTTGTCGAGTACGCTGTGAATCCCGAGTCCACTCCACTTTCGTCCAAGATTTGTTTTATCCACCTGCTAATCGACTGCACAGTGGCTCCTTGTGTGGCTTTTGGTAACATAAAAATAATTTTTGGCTGCTCGTCTTTCCTGTTACGTTTATGTATTCTAATCTGATTTTATGCAATGTTTGCAACCTCTGTCCTGTGATTAGAGCCATAGATGTTGTTAACTTTTTTGTTAAATTTTCCAACGTGATATTTTCGTTGGGATATAACGTTATCAATTTATTTAATACTAACTGCGGATTCCATGTTGTGTCGTATCTCGGTGCCTGAGGTTTCATGTTGGACACTCCTTTGAAGAACCTGATTATTTGTGGATATTTGCGGTGCTCATTATTCATTATCAATGACAACGCTGCCCTATATACATTCAATGTACTCGTTCAACGTTCTATTGGATAACGACGACAGCATGATGTTGTCGGTCTCTTCCGTGTGTCTTCTCATTTTGAAGCCTTCCTTGATAACAGTGCGGCCACCAGGATAAGTTTGTCCGCGAGTGGGTGTTGCTCTCTGTATGGACATGACAACAATTTTTTATTGGGCTCAAAATGAATAATTTCGGACGCTAAAAGAGATTTGAATAACGGATACCACGGTTGTGATGGCCAGTAGGGTACCACCACAACCCCTTCCGCCTGATCGCTTTGGATTTTTCGTAACATTTTTAGTATGATCGAAAAGGGGGGAAACGCGTAGAAAAAATAATCTGACCAACATATTGTGAATGCATCAACTGCAAAGGCTTCCGGGTCGTTCTGCCAGGAAATGAATTTTTTACATTTTGCGTTCGTCCTGGATGCAAACACGTCAATGTCGAATTCCCCGAATTTACTTTCAATTTCTCGAAAAGCTAATTTCGATAATTGCCATTCCGTATTCGAAGGCATCAGTCTGGATTGTTTGTCAGCTTCCGTGTTTTGTTTTGAGGGTATGTATGAAGCTTGAATCCAGATATCCCGACTTTCGCACCACTGCCGGATTTGTTTGGTCAGCTGCGTAAGTCTTGGGTATCGGATGCCTCCCATTTTGTTAATATACGAGATGGCGGTCTGGTTGTCGATTCGGAGTAATATTTCGCAGCTACGACAGTCGCTGGCAAAACATTTTAATCCGAACAGGACGGCTTTAAGTTCTAAATAGTTGATAGCGTTTTTCTTTTCGTCCTCATTCCAATGACCATGAGCTTTCTTCCCGAGGCAAAACGCTCCCCAACCTGATAGGGATGCATCAGTGAAGATTGTGAATTGAAAGGTTTGATTTCTGATAGGATTACTTGCAAATTCCAATTTCGAAAGCCACCAATTTAGGTCAGTCCGTATTTTTTCGTTTACCGTCATTTTAGCATTGAAGTTTTGATTTGACTCAATCAGTGCTAAATATTTCTGTCGCTCCAGTTCCTTGGTGTACAACCATCCATATTTGACCGCAGGGCATGTTGACACCAAGGTTCCGGTTACCTGAGCCAATTCTTTGATCTTACATTCTTTTTTGATTCGAAAATCCCTTATTAATTTTAACGACCTTTGTCTTTTTTCGTCCGGTAATACTACACTCATTTTTATACTGTCTATAATTAAACCTAGGAATCTGCATTGAGTTGAAGCGAAAAGTTTACTTTTTTCCCGATTAATAACTAAGCCAAGAGTTTTTAAAAGTTCTAGGGTTTTTCGAGCACTTTCGTTACACTCCGTTTCAGTTTCGGCAATTATTAGTATGTCATCTAAATAAATGACGAGTGTGATACCTAATTCTCTTAGATTCTGAACTACCGGTTTCAGTAATTTAGTGAACGTGTATGGTGCAGTGCAAAGGCCGAAAGGCATGCACTGAAACTCAAATATGTTCCCGTCAAATTCGAATCTGAGGAATTTTTTGTGTTTACTTGCGATTGGAATGTGCAAGTATCCGTCTTTCAAATCAATTAAAATCATATAGTACCCTTTACTTATTAAATTTAGGGCGACTTTCAAGTCTTCTAATTTAAAGTGGGGGGGGATTCAAAAATTTATTCAGTGATTTTAAATTCAAGATGAATCTGTCACTGCCATCTTGTTTTTGACGCAAGAAGTACGGGGATAGAAACTGTTTTTTGTCATAAGGTTTTCGCTTTACTGCTCCCTTTTCCTCTAACACACAAATTGCCTTTAACATCTTAGTCTTTTCCTCTCGTGACATTTTTTGTTCACTGGGTTTATTTGACTGAGATGGTTTGTTTACAAAAGGTAATGTGTAACCGGTGACGCAATTCAAAATATGAGGGTCAGATGACAACAGTTTCCATGAGTCTATATGATATTTTAGCCGACCAGCAATTTTTCTTACCTCTATTTCCTGGGCGCTCGCTGATGGTAACTCCGATTCTTCATTGGCCCTCCTTGTCTCAGTCTGTTGTGACTGCGCCTGGGAGGGCCCCGCCAGTTTAAATTGCCGGGCTTGGAGTCGTTCCTTCCTCTCGAGGTGTTGGTGGCTTTTTTGACAGTCGAAGTATTTGTGACTTTTGAAGCCTGTTTTGAAAATGTTCGACCACAACTTTGACACGGAATCATTCACGGGCGCTCCCGTCGCTTTTTTCTCGAACTCCGTAGAGTCCAGTTGGCTCAACAGGGGATCTGCATTATCGACTTCCACTGACGCCTGTTTGTCAATTTTCTCCTCTGTTCCAGGCTGATTTTTTCCGGATTGTGTCGTTTCGTGAGCAGGTTTTTCTGTTTCATCCCGAGGCGGACTGCTCGAGCTCCGCTCGTCGGGGTGTGATGATACAGAACTCTCACTCACTGAGTCGTATCTGTTCCTGTCGAGGTTAGAATCATTGTACCTGCTTCGTTTGCGTGGCGCACCGCGTGGGTGACGCTCGCCGCTTCGACTTGCAGGTAATGTTCTGCGTGGCGTTTCTCTGCGTAAACGCTCACTATTTTTGGTTCTTCGGCTGAATTCCCTTGATCCTCTTTCTGTAGAGGATGAGCTGCTACGTGAGGATGTGGATGGGCGTCGTTTTCTTGAACGACTTCGTCGTTTCACTTTTTCCCTTGATTTCTCCCGTTTTTTCGGAAAACGATCACCGCTGTGTTGTCTCCTCCGTTTCCCAGCACGCTGATACTCATCCGATGATGAATTCATTCTTCAAGAACACTTAAAAATCACTTTAAATATAACTTTTCCGAGACGAGAATTTTTCGCGATGTGCACGAAACACACAGAAACTCCATAATGAAAGTGTCATGGCGGCGAAGAGACGACATCTACAGAGTGGCAAGGGAATTATCCTTTTTATTTTAGTTTGAATTTAAAATATCTGTGCGAAACGAATAGTAATTCCATTACTACAAAATAATTGATCTCGAGGACGAGGCAGCGTAGTACAATTGAATTTCTGTGGAAACTTTTGTTATATTTTAGAAAATAATTGAATTCTTCAAAAGAATTTTATAAACATTGTTTTAAATAATTAATTTTTTCGAAATATTGTAAATATTATGAAACTTTTATTATAAATAATTGAATTCTTGTAGAAAATTTTATTTGTCAAAATAATTGAATTTTTCCTTCTACTTAATTGAAAATAGTATTAAAAATAATTGAAATTCTTCAATGAGTTTTATTATTTATGAAAATAATTGAATTCTTGCTAAGAATTTTATCAAAAAAATTTTTTAAAAATTGAATTTTTATGAAAAATGTTATTATTAGTGAAAGTAATTGAATTATTGTGAAGAATTAAATTAAAATTAAATTTTTAAAAATAATTACATTTTTTTAAGCAATTTCTGAAAAATTTTATTCAAAAAATAATTGAAATTCTTCGATGAGTTTTATTATTTATGAAAATAATTGAATAGTTGCTAAGAATTTAATTAAATTTTTTTTTAAAAATTGAATTTCTAATTGAAAAATGTTATTATTAGTGAAAGTAATTGAATTTTTGTGAATAATTGTATAGAAATTGTGTTAAATAATTGATTTTTTCTAAATTTTTTTTTCAAAATGCTATTCTAAATTAATTGAATTTCTATGTAAATTTTATTATTTATGAAAATAATTGAATTTTGCAAAACATTTTATTAAAATTCCTAAAAATAATTGAATTTTTGTGACGAATTTTCTTATATTTATCAAGATTTTGATTATCAAGATTCGTTAAAACTTTTGAAATACATAAATACTATTAAAAAATTAATTCTTTTCAGAAATAGAAAAAAAACATTGAAGGTATTTTTTATTAGAATTCGTGGTAACTTCATAGTTTTTGAGGCAAATAAAAAAGTCACCAAAAATTCTGAATTTTCCACGACGTTGAAGTCCACAACGTTTATCAACGAAAAAAATTGTGCACTTAGTAAATTAATAAAAGATAACGCAGCAATATTGCCACAAAAATATTTAGAAAAAATAGACCGATGTTTATAATCTGATAATAATTATTATACAATTTTTTTTTTTTTTTTTTTTTTTTTTTATTAATGTTTTATTAAACATCGACAGATGCTTATTGTTATACAATTAAGTATTGAATTATAAATAATATTGGAATAGATTAAACAAATTTTTTTCATTGATCATCGTTGTGGACTTCAACTTCGTAAAATTTTCTTATGAATTCTAAAAATTAAATTTTTTCCAGTACTTTTAATAAAAATTCCTGACTTTTCCCTCATTTTCCTGACTAATTCTAGTTTCCCTGACTTTCCCTGAATTCCCTGACAAATTTTCACTTTTCCCCTGATTCACAAAAAAAGTTTTCGCTAATTTTTATTTCAACTTTCAATTTTTTCTTTTTTGTAAAAAAAAAAAAATTGAAAGTTTATTTATTTATTTATTTCATTTTTACGGGCTCGAAGCTCTTTCGTACATTGTACTTAAAAAAGTATTTAACAAATTATAATAACAATAAAAATTTATAATATGAAAGTTGAAATAAAAATTAGGGAAAACTGTTAACTAATTCATTGCAGCAACTTTGTCGTTTACCTCATCAATAAACAACAAGTTTAAATAACATATACGCGCAAATTTGAAGGCAATAAATTATTAAAGAGGAAGTACCTGAAAAAGCGAGTTCGAATGTCAAAGTCATTTCCTATGAAAATGAACTAGTTGATGGGGAACAAATGTCTGATTCATTTTCATTTGTCCGTAACAATAACAGACACACACACACGTGCCACGCAAGCAAGCAAGCAAGCAAGCAAGGATTATTGTGATAATTGGAAAATAAATTGTTTGCCCAGGGGGGGATATATTGTGAAAGCATTGTACACCTTACCAGTGTCCTGTGAGCGCGTGGGTGGAATCTCGCAAACATTTCCTGTATATCCGGTGGCACAATGACATCGCACCGCTGCAGCTCCGACGTGCCTAAAATAACAAATCAAAACATTCGAAACAGTCCTCCAAAATTTATATTACTGGAAACCATATGACAATGTTATCTACATTCGGGCAATATCAAATTTTCCAGATATACGACGCCAAATTATAGCTATACAACGATTTTACATTTATATATATATATCTATATATACATACACCTACAAGTCGCGCTTTTCAACTTCTCTCCAATTTCCCATTATATGTGTCCATATCATTCCAATTCTATTGCATTTTTATTCTATTTCTTGTATTTTTATTGTAATTTTCTCTACTCGTAACGCATTTTTATTCTTTTTATTCCATTTTTCTATTGTCAACGTGTACTTTAGTCTTTTATTGTCTTTAGGTATTTATTTTATTTCTATTTTATTCCTTGTATTGCATTTTTGCTATGCTTCCTATGTTTTTCTATCTTTTTCATTCAATTCTTGTTTATTAATTTCGGGGTCAATTAGGAAAAATCAATTACTATTTTTATGGAAAGAAATAAAATCTCAAAGTAAGACGAAATTTCTAAAATCGATTTTATTTATCGTTTACGGCAGTAAATATTAACGCATTAAAGTTAATAAATTAATTTCCTTTCTACAAAAATAAAATAAAACAGAAATATCAGGCTTCGCACTCACCTACTAAAACACCAATTATTTAAAATAAAACATCAAAAAATATTATATTTCGAAAAAATTAATTATTAAAAACAATTTTTATAAAATTCTTCTAAAGAATTCAATTATTTTCAAAAATAACAAAACTTTCCACAGAAATTCAATAATTAAACATTCAAAACTAAACTTTTTTTAAACATTTTAATAAAATTTTTCACAATAATTCAATTATTTTCATAAATATAATAAAACTCATCGAAGAATTTCAATTATTTTTAATACTTTTTTACAGGAATTCCTCAAAAAATGTAATTATTCTTAAAAATTAAATTTCAATTCCTCGAAAAAATCAATTATTTGAAAAAAATGTTATTTTTTAATTCTTTGCAAAAATTCAAATATATTTAGAAAACTTTCACTAAAGCATTCAATTTGTTTTTAATTTGTCATAAAAAATTTCAGTAGAATTCAATTATTTTCTAAAATTTTAATAAATTTATCGAAAAAATTTAATGGTTTTCTAAAATTTTGTAATAAATCCTTCGAAACAATAAAATTACTTTTTTAAACAGCAAAATGTTTGCAAAAATTCAATTATATTTAAAAATTTTAATACATTTTTCAAAACAATTCAATTGTATTTATAAGCAGTAAAATTCTTTGCAAAAAATTCAATTATATTTAAAACAATTTGACGAAAGAATTCAATTTTTTTTAAATCGTCAACAAAAATTTCAGTATAATTCAATTATTTTCTAAAATTCTTATAATAAATCCTACGAAATAATTAAATTATTTTTTTAAATATTAAAATCTTTGCAAAAGTTCAATTATTTTTAAAACAATGTTAATAAAATTTCATAAAATAATTTAATTTTCGATAAATGTTTAATGAAATTTTTCGCAAAAATTCAATTATTTTCATAAATAATAAATTTCTTCTCAGAAATTCACTTATTTTTGCAAATTTTAATAAAATTCTTAACAACTATTCAATTATTTTCATAAATAATAAAATTCATCGCAGGAATTCAATTATTTTTAATATAATTTTATAGGAATTGCTCAAAAAATGTAATTATTCTTAAAAATTTTAATTTCAATTTCTCGAAAAAATCGAAGAATTCAATTATTTACAAAAATATTAGAATTTTTCACAGGAATTCAATTATTTACAAATATTTTAATAAAATCGTTCGAAAGAAATGAATTACTTTAAATAGATGCAGTTTTAATTAAATTTTTTTGAAATAAATCAATTATTTTTTTATAGATTTTAATAAAAGTCTTTCCAAGAATTCAATTATTTTTAAAAGTAATTCTTCTGAAAAATTCAATTATGTCAATAAATAACAAAATTATTCCCGAAAATTTAATTATTTTGAGGCATTTTAATGAAATTCTTTGCAAAATTCAATTATTTTCATAAATAAAAATATTCATCAAAAGAATTCAATTTTTTTTTAAATTAGTAAAATTCTTCTTGGAAATTCAATTATTTTTCAAAATTCTAATAAAATACTTCGCAAAAATTTAATTATTTGCAAAAATAATAAAATAATTTAAATATTTTTGATCAAAATTAGGAGAAAGTCAGGAAAATTAAAAAATTTATAGCTCTTTTTAACTACTTTTTTTAATTTGAAAGCCATACTTTTTTAATATTAATTATCCAGTGCAAAGTCTGTATTTTACAATTTTCAAATTATGTGCATATTTTAATTAAATGTTTTATTAATACAACATACAGTGATATAATTAATTAAAGTAATTTATTATTTCCCATCCTATGCAATTATTCTGATTGTTTATATACTATACAATATTTTAAATCTGTAAAGTAATTAAACACTAACATTATAATTTTTTTAGTCATTTGCTTGCCGTGTAATAAATTATTTTATGCTTATTGTACCATTAGTTGATTTCTGTATTATTGCAAATTAATCGTTAATACTTTTTGTTTCATTAACTCTCGACAAATAAATTTAATTATTTAATTATTTAATAAATTTCAATAAATTTAATTTCTCAATAAATTGAAATTCGTTTCGGGTACTTTGAAAAAGTTTGTTAAACTTATTATTCGATAATCATAACGGTGGGGGGTCAATTTTCCCAAAATTTTTTTCCAAAAAAAATTATTCCCAAAAAATGTTTTCCCAAAAAAATTTTTCCAAAGCAAATCATTTTTCCAATATTTTATTTCCCAAAAAAAAAAAAACCCAACATTGTCCACCAATCTGTTCGAACTAGAATTTATTAAAAAAAATTTTCAAACTAGAATTTACTCAAACTATTATTTTTTCAAATTACAATTTATTAAAATTATTATTTTTTCAAATTACAATTTATTAAAATTATTATTTTTTCAAACAAAAATTTATTGTAACTATTATTTTTTCGAAATAGAATTTACTCAAACTATTATTTTTTCAAAATACAATTTATTCAAATTATTATTTTTTCAAACAAAAATTTATTGTAACTATTATTTTTTCGAAATAGAATTTACTCAAACTATTATTTTTTTCCAGAAATTTTTTTATTTTTGAAAATAATTGAATTTTTGAATTTTTGTAAAGAATTTTATAAAAATTGTTGAAAATAATTGTGTTTCTTAGAATAATATTGTATTAAAAATTTTATAGAATAATTGAAATTCTTCTAGAAATTTTTTTATTTATGAAATTAATTGAATTTTTGTGAAGAATTTTTTTATTTTGTAAATAATTGAATTCTTGTAAAGAATTTTATAAAAATTTGTTGAAAATAATTGTGTTTCTTAGAATAATTGTATTGCAAATTTTATAGAATAATTGAAATATTCTTCTAGAAATTTTTTTATTCATGAAAATAATTGAATTTTTGTGAAGAATTTTTTTATTTTTGAAAATAATTGAATTTTTGAATTTTTGTAAAGAATTTTATACAAATTGTTGAAAATAATTGAATTTTTGTAAAGAATTTTATAAAAATTGTTGAAAATAATTATATTTCTTGGAATAATTGTATTAAAAGTTTTATAGAATAATTGAAATTCTTTTAGAAATTTTTTTATTTATAAAAATAATTGAATTTTTGTGAAAAATTTTTTTATTTTTGAAAATAATTGAATTTTTGTAAAGAATTTTATAAAAATTGTTGGAAATAATTGTATTTCTTGGAATAATTGTATTACAAATTTTATATAATAATTGAAATTCTTTTATAATTTTTTTATTTTTGAAAATAATTGAATTTTTGTAAAGAATTTTATCAAAAATGTTGAAAATAATTCCGATTTTATAGCGTAAAAGTAAAAATGTATCTTTTTCACAAGTTTCATTATTTATTTTTGACGATTTTATTTATTTTTGATTTTTTGACTTTGGACATTTTTATTTTAGATTTTTTGTACTTTGGACTTTTTTTCTTAGACTTTCCGGTCTGGATTTATTAAATTGGATTTTTTGTCCTGTAATCTACTCAAACTTTATTATTTTTTCAAACTTGTTACGTATTTACAATCACTTGGACATTACGTTCGAATGTGATTATTTACTACTAATTTGGCAATAAATATACATTTTGGAAAAAATATAACATTGGGAAAAGTTTTTGGGAAAATTATTTTTTAGAAAATTCAGCATACTTAAAAAAAAATTACACTATAAGAGGCAAATAAAGTAATTCGATAGAAAAAAAAAAATAAATATTGTAATGGCCAGCAAAAACATACTGACTTGAAAAAATTCATTAATTTCAAGTGCAAAAGAATAAAATTAGAGACTCAGTTGTATACATTAAAATTTATGTTAAACTTTGAATAATTAATGTTGGTTTTATGAGGACCTTATTTATGATGCTTCCGAATGGATTGTAGTAAGAAAGTCAAGTGCTCATGAAACACCAGCACATTACGAGAAAAGCAAAAAAGAAAATACGTCGTCATAAACTTTTGCAGTTAATGTGAAATAAGACCTTGATTTCATCTCAACAACTAAAAAAAAATCTATTGCCTTCTGATTTCTTCATCCCTTTCTTCTAATTAAAAATTCTAATTAAAAATTATTTTTCATTTATTTTAGAATAACTATTTTTATATTTGATTTTTATATTTAAAATTTATTAGTTTCTGTATGAGAATGAGAATAAAAAATAGAATATTTTTTTTTATAGTGGTAATAAAAATTTGTCAACTCGCAATGAAAATACTGTGGTGGCAATTTTTCGATGTATTTTATAGAAAATTATTGGCTATTGTTCCTATATATATATGTATATTTTATACCCGTGAAAAACCAGAATTATATGAGGATTAGTGTCCATTGTGATTATTATGACTTACGCGCTTCATTTTTACCTGCGCGAGTTGACGAGAATAACGAGGCAGGAATAAAAATTACCCAAGAAAATCTACGAGAACAATACTCTCGGGGATAAAATGACGATCTTTTTTTGTGTTCTACTTTTCTTTTTTTTTTTGTTTTCTTTTGTTTTGTTTTGTTTAGCAGACTTAAAAAACGATTCGCTTGAATGCTAAGCTGCTTTCTTCATTTATATATGCAATTCGAAATGTCCAAGGTGCTATAGTCATTGCTCATTTTTGCTTGAAATCAGTTTCCCACGAAATCCTTCACGAGGAAAATTTCATTTTCGCGCACAAAGATTTATAATTTACTTCTTTTTTTTACTATTAATTTTTTCTTTGTTTTTGTCAACCGCTCTTTAGATAATTAGTTTTTTTTTGTTAATTAAAAATTTCAAGCAAAAAGGGATGAATTATTTTGAAAATTATTTAATTTACTTTTTTATATTTGAATAGTTTTTTTTTTTTTTTTTTTTTTAAAACATAAAAGACTCACCTGCATGTGCCATTATTGCGGCAAACCAAGTTTTGAGCATTCTCTTTGCAGAGTGGACCGAATCCGCAATTTTCACCGCTGAAGCCTTGAAAACATACACACGAGAAAGAACTGCAACAGAGAATAAATAAGCAAACATTATTTATGGTATCAATTAATAAAACAAATTAAATATAATAAATAAATCAGGAAAACAATTAAAATATAACAGTACTCGTCTCCTGAGACATGACATTAAATACCTATAAAAAAATATTTATAGACTTCGTACTTGATAATTAATTTTAAAAATGTAGCTTTCAAACTAAAAAAAATTAATTAAAAAGTAGCTATCGAAAATAAAAATTGACGACCAAAAAAACTCGTTTTAGAAACTTCACAAAACTGATGAAAATTCCATTCTATATTTTATTTTCCTGACTTTTTCCTAATTTTTATCAAAAATATTTACAATTCTTTCTTAACCTGCTAATAAATTCAATTCCTGCAATAAATTTTATTATTCATGAAAGAATTTAAATATTTATAAAAATAATTTAATTCTGGCGACGAATTTTATTTATTTTATTTATTTTATTTATTTTATTTATTTTATTTATTTTATTTATTTTATTTATTTTATTTATTTTATTTATTTTATTTATTTTATTTATTTTATTTATTTTATTTATTTTATTTATTTTATTTATTTATACACATTCCCCCGCGTTTATAAAAATTTATAAAACTTATAAAAATGTTTAAATAATTGATTTTTTTCCACTAATTTTATGTTAAATTCTAATTTAAATATTTGAATTTCTGAAAAATTTTTATTATTCATGAAAAGAATTGAATTCTTACGAAATGCTTTTAAATAATTGAATTTTGTTTGGAAATTTCATGAAAATAGTAGATATTGAAAATCATTAAATTGCGGAAAGTTTTTAAAAATAATTAAATTTTACAAAGATTCGATTAAAATTTTTGACAATAATTGAATTTTTGCGAAGGATTTTATTGGAATTTTTTAAAATAATTAAATTTCCAAAAAGAAATTTATTACTTTTAAAAATAATTGTATTGATTCTTGTGATGAATATTGTATTTTATAAAAATAATTTAATTTTACAAAGAATTTTATTAAAATGACTCAAAATAATTGAATTTTCGGGAATAATTTTGATATTTATCGACATAATTGAATTTTTTCGAAAAATTATTTTTGTAAATAATTGAATTCTTCGAATGGATTTTGTTAAAATCTAAAGGAATAATAGAATTATTTCAAAAAATAATTTAATTAAAATTGTATTTAAAATAATTGATTTCTTTTGAAAAATGTTATTAAAATATTTGAAAATAATTGAATTCCTGTGAAAAATTCTAATATTTTTGTAAATAATTGAATTCTTCAAAAAATTTTTAAAAAATATTTTTTTAAATAATTGATTATTTCGAGGAATTAAAATTAAATTTTTAAAAATAATTAAATTTCTCGAGCAATTCCTGTAAAATTTTATTAAAAATAATTGAAATCCTGCGATGAATTTAGTTATTTAAGAAAATAATTGAATAGTTGCTAAGAATTTTATTAAAATTTTCAAAAATAATTGAATTTCTGAAAAGAATTTTATTATTTATGAAAATAATTGAATTTTTGCGAAAAATTTTATTAAACATTTATTAAAAATTAAATTATTTTATGAAATTTTATTAAAATTGTTTTAAAAATAATTGAACTTTTGCAAAGATTTTAGTATTTAAAAAAATAATTTAATTATTTCGAAGGATTTATTACAAGAATTTTAGAAAATAATTGAATTATACTGAAATTTTTTTTTGGACGATTTAAAAAAAATGGAATTTTTTCGTCAAATTGTTTTAAATATAATTGAATTTTTTGCAAAGAATTTTACTGCTTGTAAATACAATTGAATTGTTTTGAAAGATGTATTAAAATTTTCAAATATAATTAAATTTTTGCAAAGATTTTGCTGTTTAAAAAAGTAATTTAATTGTTTCGAAGGATTTATTAAAATTTCGTTTAAAAATAATTGAGTTTTTGCAAAAAATTTTACTATTTATAAAAATAATTGAATTATTTCGAAGGATTTATTACAAAATTTTAGAAAACAATTAAATTTTTTCGACGAATTTATTAACAGTTTAGAAAATAATTTAATTCTACTGAAATTTTTTATGACAAATTAAAAACAAAGTGAATGCTTTCGTGAAATTTTTCTAAATATTTTTGAATTTTTGCAAACTATTTTACTACCTATAATTATAATTGAATTGTTTCAAAGGATTTATTAAAATTTTTTTAAATAATTGAATTTTTGCAAAGAATTAAAAAAAAAAGAATTAAAATTTTCCAAAATAATTGAATTCCTGAGGAGAATTCTATTATTTATGAAAATAATTGAATTTTTGAAAAAAATTTTATTAAAATGTTTACAAAGAATTGAATTCATGAGGAGAATTTTATTATTTATGAAAATAATTGATTTTTTTGCAAAAAGTTTTATTAAAATGTTTAAAAGAATTGAATTTCCATAGAAAATTTTGTTTTTTTTTTTAAATAATTGAATTCTTCATAAGAATTTTAGAAACATTGTTTTAAAAAATTAATTTTTTCGAAATATAATAAATATTAGGAAAATTTTTTTTTAAATAATTGAATTCTTGCAGAAAATTTTATTTGTGAAAATAATTGATTTTTTCTACTACTTAATTGAAAATAGTATTAAAATTAAAAATAATTGAAATTCTTCGATGAGTTTTATTATTTATGAAAATTGAACTCTTGCTTAGAAATTGATTAAAATTTTTTTTTAAATAATTGAATTTCCATGAAAAACATTATTAGTGAAAGAAATTGAATTATTGTACAGAATTGTATAAAAATTGTATTAAATATAATTGATTTTTCCGAAATTTTTTTGAAAATGCTATTCAACAATAAATTAGTTACCAATAAAAAATATAATGAAATATTATTCTCACAATGATTCAAGACAAAGTTTCCTTTCCTTTTTTTTCTCTGCAAATTGTATAATGATGAATTTTAAAATCAGTTCGGAGAGACAACATTTAAATTACAAATTATGAGGAAAGTTTTATTAAAGAAACACGAAACATGAAAACTAAATCAAGAGCTAATTCTATCATGCGCATGTTAAATGAGGAAAAAGGACACACTGCACAAAGTTTATAAAATCAGAAACTGTAAAATGTCATTGGCGAGATAGCCCCAAAAGTATTGGACAGCAAAATTTAATAATAAAAAAGAAGAAAGGAAAAAAAAAGTAAAAAACTTTAATTAACTCATAGAAGTTAACAAGAAATCTCCGAAAATTGAGATACCAAAGTCCTTAATTTTCTCCGAGTTAATTTAAAAATTTGTATTTCATTCTCATTCGCTTGAAAAAAAAAAAAAAAAAAGATAAAACTTCAAATTACAAAATAATCTTAATAATTCTGAGTTGTAATAATTATTAAATAACTAAAAATTGCTAAACCAAAAATTAGAAATTAAAAATTATCTCATAATAAATTATTAAAATTAATAAATAATTAATAAATACTTCACACGATAGTAAATAAATATTTGAAATCGTTAAAAAAGGTTTTTTTAGTGTGAAATAACAAAAAATTTACATAAAAGACGTTTTTGCATTTTCATCCATTTTTCCGCACCATTTATTTATTTATTTTTTTCCTTTTTGTTGCAAACTCAGATCACGCAACAAAGTAATAAACGAACACATCGTGTGGAAGCGTCTTACTTTTATTTGTCGCGTGTTCTGAGCCGATTTGGAGAGAGTGTGAACTCTCATTCCTTCATTGCACACAAGCAACGGCAGAACGGGTAGTAAAAATTTTATTTCTCACGGAAATGAAGAGTCATAAAATGAGCAAAGGAAAAAAAAATGAGGAAAAAATTATGAATTTGTTACCACTTGAATGGAAATACATCTTTTATCAAGGGAAAAAAGGTAGAATTACTTTGTTGAAAAGAGAATTATTTTATCCCCCATTTAAAATTGTTTTATAACTATTCAATTATTATCTTTTGGAAAATAATAAATAAAAACTAAGTAAAATAAATAGAAATTAATTTAAATAAATAAAAATCAAATAAAATTGATAAAAACTAAATAAAATAAATAAAAAATATTTATTTTAAATAAAAAATACTGACAGTGGCGTAGCTAAGTGGTTAGTGTGTCAGACTGTAACTGAGAGGGTCCTGGGTTCGAGTCCCCTCATTTTTTAATAAATTTTAATAATTAAAAATTTTATAAAATTAATTGAATTCGTCAATATAATATTTAATTATTTATTAAAAATAATGGATTTATAGAAGAATTTTATTCAAATACACTAAAAAATTGAATTTTGAAGAAGTTACAATTGCAGAAATTCAATTATTTTCAAAAATTTTAATGAAAATTCTTGTCAAAATTTCGATTATTTTCAAAAATTTTCCTCATTTCAATGGTTTTCAATATCTACTATTTTATTAAAATTACCCAAAAGAATTCAATTATTTAAAAATTTGTTAATAATATTCTTTATGAGAATTAAATTTTAAGAAACATTCAATTATTCAATCAATTATTCTTTTGTATTTAAATACGTAATTGAATTTTATTAGTAGAATTTTCTAATAAAAATTGATTTAAAAATTAATTTCAGTTAAAATGTTAGATTATAATTGAATATTAAAAGCATTATAGCATGATTTTTTTTTAGAAATAATTGAATTTTGTAGAAGTTACACATGATTGGCGAAATTCAATTATTTTCAAAAGTAATAAATTTCTTATCACAAAATTCAATTATGTTAAAAAATTTACAAGAAAATCTCGACAAAATCCCAATTATTATCTTTATAAATAAAACAATTCTTCTTCAAAATTAAATTATTATCAAAAATTTTGATAAAATTAATGTCAAAATTTCAATTATTTTCAATATCTACTATTTTAATAAAATTACCTAAAAGAATTAAATTGTTTAAAACAATTTTAATAAAATTGTACGCAAATATTTAATTCTTTCCATAAATATTAAAAATTTCACAGAAATTCAATAATTTGCAAATTTCTTATAAATTTCTTCTC